TATCCATTTTCCACCAGAACTTATTGTTGGATGATCAATACTTTGGGCAGCTAGCTCAGTACTTTGTGCCTTGCACGGATTTCCAATGTGTTATCTGCTGCCTTTGAACAGCTAGCTTAGTATTTTGTACCTCACACAGCTTTCTGCTTGCGTACTGGCGTATTTTTCATATATATTTAACTAATGTTATCAAAATTGGTATAAAATTAGAGTATTGGGCATTAAGTAGCCTATTTGGTATGCAAAAATCAGTAAAAAATTTGGTTTCTGTTCCAGAACCATCATAAATACACAAAACAGGTACCAAGTAATCATTAAAACATGAATTTAAAGATGTTGGCTTGATGACTGATGATGTTACTATCAATCAAAGTTCTAGTTGTCTAGTTATGACAACTGAAGTATGTCATTCTGACTAATTAATTAACATATTTCATAAACTTTTAGATTTTACATAGTATGCTGCATTGAGGAAGTGGGATATTACATGAAGTAGCTTGGATTATATTTGGATGGAATACATTGCATGCAAGGTAAATAAAAAAAATCATCGAGAACAAATATATGGGAAGTTTCTAACAAAAACTGAATTGAGTTTTTGCATAATATATTTAATATATATATCTATGTAGATGGAATGGTTTTTTTTTAAATAATTTATAATGTTGTGTTTATTAACTTATGTCGGCCTAGCCTGAAGTAAAAGTTGTTGTTTCTATTTATCAACAATTATATGAAAAATTAAAAATTTTTTAAGTGATAATCTTTTTTTAATTGACATGACATTTTTTATACAAAAAGACTCGGAAACAGCTGCAAGTGCAGTAAGAAATTTAAATAATGTTGAAGTTGGAGGGCGTCAACTAAGGGTTGATTATGCAGATAATGATCCAGCCACTTCATCTAATTCATCAAACAACTCATCACGTCAAAATGATAGAATGAATTCAGAAAGACACCAACAGCAGCATCAGCAGCAGCATCAGCAGCAACAACAACAACATCATCTACATCAGTTACATCAATCTCAACAACAACAACATCAACCACAAATACTGCCACCTAATGTTAACACTTCTCAAACAAATCTTTCTCAACAATCCACTCTTGAAAACATTTCACAAACATTAAAAAATTCAATGAATCACATCCAACTTCTTGAGATACTGTCCACTATGAAGGTTTTAGGCATTTATTTTTTTTCATTGAAAAAATTACATATAATTATTTAAATGTTTATAAATTTATTAACTTATATCCTCAAACTTTAGTTGTACATACAAACTCATGCAGACCAAGCTCGTGCATTATTGGCACAAAATCCTCAACTTTGTTATGCATTATTTCAAATAATGTTAGATCAGAATATTGTTGATCCAAATATACTAGTATGTTTATTTATTTCCTAACTACAAAATCAACAATGAATAATGATATATATAATTAATTACTCATTATAATTGTGATCTTAATCAATTTTAGCGATTGATGCAACAAAGCTCTTTGCAAGGACAAACTCAACCTCAGCCAACTGCTGTACAAAATACCAATCCCTTGGTCACACCCAACTATGGTTCTCAACCTATTCCTAACACAGCACAAATTCCTCAACAACATCAACCTAACATGTTCACTTCAATTCCTCAGCAACCAATGATTCAGCAACCAATACAACAACCTCTCAATATTCAACAGCCTCCAATACAGCAACCTCCCATGCAACAACCCCCATCCATGCAGCAATCTACTCCGATGCAACAACCTCCCCT